AAGAAATACCTTGCGGAATCTTGCGGATCTCAGTTAATTGAACAGTTCATGTGTCACCCAGTGGGCTATCACACACGGAGAATAAAAGAGTATATGACCAGCAGTCACAAAGGGGTGCTTCATGGAGGTTAGGGGTGCCCAGAACATCCACTCACTTAGGGACTAAACACCACCCTTTTGCTTTCCAGATCGGCCAGGTTTCCAGGCGAAAAAATCCAGGATTCCGGAGGCGGATGGGAGGAATCCTGGATCATTTCACACACTCACGACTGGGTGAGCTGCGCGCAATTGCTTGCCAGCAAGCCAGGGTCGGCTGTCCGCACCAGCATCTGAGGCAAACAAAACGCCCTACAGTTACAAGAGTTCTTGGATTGGTGGGAAGAGCATGGCGCTTCCGTTCCCACTTGGGAACTGGTGAACCAAGTGCGAGAGCTTTGTCGAGAGCGCCTTGGGCCACGGCGGCCACGCGTAACTGTATGCGTATACGACGCGGTTGGACGGTGTGCAGGCGTTTGATCAAGGGGGCCAAAGATCGAGGAACAGTTGGTTCACAAAAAAGTGACAATTGCCTTTCAACTTGTGTTGCCGTGGATGGATTTCTTGTTTTTTAATGCAAGAAGGTTAGACAGTTAGATCCCCAACAACCCCAAACGAACGGTCTCGCCATTAACGAACGGTCTCCTACCAGGTGTTCGGGGGGTCGTCTTCATAAATCAAGATGATTGTTGCCTTTTACCCTACTTGTGCCTTATCCATGTGCTTGACTCATTGACTGGAGCTCATCAAGCATTAGGCAACAAAAAGGGCATAGTGCTTTTGACGCCACGGACATTCCTTGTAGAACCGTGTTGTGCCATACATCCCGACAGTCGTCCGGCGGTGTCCGGGCGTTTGTCTCCGTTTTAGAGTCAGCAGAGGCCACGATCCACAAGAAGGTTCTCTCGCGAGTCCGGTGTGGTCCCCCCACAAAGAGCGCAAAGAGCCGTTAGGAGCCGTTGAAGGAGCCGTCGGGTCACATGAAACAGATGCTGCACCACCGTGAGGAACCTCCCGCTTACGAGTAAGAGCCTTTCGTCCGGCGCCAGGCCATGTCCGGACGAATTGTGTGCTGAAGGTTCGCTTGAGCGTTTCTTTCGTGCAGTCTCGCAAAAAGGCCCCGCGCCCCTCAGGAACGCCGTGGCCAAATGCAGATGGACTCAGTTCTGCAAGTCTCAGGAGGGTCCAGGTGCACAAACAAATCCAGTGATGCAGACGAAAGACTGCCTGGAAACTCTCCTGCACTCAGACATCATGTCAAGAGTTCTTTAAGCCTCTCAATTGGGAAGAGGACACTCTGAAGAAAGCACTTGTTTGGTGCCTCTAATGCTATGATAGACGAATGATCCACGATCTGCCCTCAGATGCATCGTTCCTGCCGGTTCTCCCTGCTGAGGAGACCTTTATGGCTCAGATGCGGGAAGCTGGGATTGTACCCGAAGAAGATGATGACACTTGGAGCTGAATGAAGAGCTGGATGTTTGCTTGTGACATCTCTAGCAACTCTTGAATGACCAGATTGGTCAACTACCAAAGGTTCACCAGCCGGTCACTGTGATGTCTTACCTTCTGCCGAGTTCCCTGGATTCCCGATCCGTCACGAGGAGGACACCAAGCCCGCAGATGAGCCTGAGACCAAGAAGCCTCGCATCGAGAATGGATATCCAGCTGCAGACAAAGAGCCTTCTGCGGTGAGTGTGCTCGTGCAAGACTTGCCGGACACCAGCACCGCAAAGGATCTGGAGGAGCACTTCTCCATCTATGGTCGAGTTCTCAAGTCTTCTTGGATTTCGCCAAATAGCATTTTTTAGCCCAAGCAAAGCCGCCGCAAGTACCTTTTGATGGCTTCGGAGGTAGGGTAGTTCGTTTGGAGTATTGGGGTCGTTCGTTTTTTTTTTAACGGACTCTTCTCACCCCTAGGGGAGTTCTCACCCCAAGGGAAGTGGTGAAGTTCAATACTTGTGATACTCAAGATGGGTTTCAGTGAGGTTCTTCAAGCAGGAACCTCACTGAAACCCATCTATATTTGAAGTGGGGACAGGATGAACCCGCTTGAATTGGAAACTCATCCCCGCCCTCACTTTAGCGTCGATGGGCCAGTTCTGATGAAAATCTGCGGCGATGGCCGGACGGCTATCCATCAATAGCATGACCAAATGACCCATAGACCCCTTTGTAGGGGAGCAAGACCTTCATCTCAGAGGGTCGATTGTCAAATGGTTGTTAACCACTAGTGCACCTTCCAAGCGAAGACTGAACAAATAGATTGCTATGTTGCTGGTGGGTGTTCGTCTCATGTCCCGCATGTACGGCTCATGAGTGCCTTCCGCCTCCATGCCTCCATGGTACCGTACAAAGAGACCGCACCCGTCGGAAAGGAGACTGTCGTGGGTGATGTGTGTGTTGCCGAAACACTTGGAGTCCACCTCTCCAAACATCTCCAAACAACGTTTTGGATACTAGACGACAGACGAGCAGAGAGCGAGTGGTGGAAAGGCATTGTCCAGCATGACTGACAGATTGTTCCAACATAATACCAGCTACACAACCACTCACACGTTACATGGAATGGAAAGACGACCTGGAAAGGCATACTAGTGGAAGAGAGTGATTTCTCCAGCTTCCTTAAGGAAACTGGTCGGAAATCACCTGGATGTTCCAAAACCGGATCAGTTGGAATGCCCCCCCCCCCAACTCCACCGTCTTCCGCTGACCCCTCCGCTCCGCTGCTCGAGAGCGGTTCCCGCGCTGACCGACCTATGTCCGTCCAGGTCGAAGGTGCGACGGGTGGATGGAGAGCTGGAGGGCTTGGTGGTCTTATCTCCGGAGATCACCAAGGAGTGGCGGAGCAAACCGCGGGCGGGTCGCGTGGAGGTGTGGTGTGAAAACGGCGTGGGGTGTGGCGTGGCCACGGCAATTTTGGGTGAGCCCCCTTTCGGAGGTTAAGGGGAGGCAGCTAATTACTGGGAAGTGGCTTGGAAGGTTCCAAACTGACAGGGTAGGATAGGCCAGAAGGGGTTTGGATAGGGGTAGTAGGGACCCAGTTGGGAGCGTTGGGAGGGGTATAGGGGGGGGCTCCCTTGTGTGTTGAGGGGGAGGGTGGATTCATACGAATCATGTGGCCAATCTTTTCGAATCTTTGAGACCCTTCGGCCGCTTCAAAGCGGTACCCTTCTACACATGAACATGGACCCTGAAAACCACCAAACATGGTCGGTGACTTCCTGGCGCCGACGCGCCTGGACCGAACCAATCAGGAACTGACGTTCCATGTGCGGCCTTGCACGCCCCTCCCGTCGTCGTCGGTCCAGTCGGTCCAGGACGCCATGCAGTTGATTCGCGTCTTGCTGGACCACTCGCATCAGATCAACGGAGAGCAGGTGAGGTGCGAAAGGCAAAGAAGAAGTTCGGATCGAGAATCGTCGAGCTGCGCGGGGGCAGCGAGTGCTGGAAAAAAAATAGACCAATGAGAAGGCACGCGTGGTGGTATGGTATGTTTCGCATGTTTCGATTGGTGGAATGCTTCATTCCAAGCATGCACGCAACTTCAAATGCCAGCCCCAAAGATGCTGTAGAAATGAACTATCCTCTAAAGTGGGACAGGAGGCAGGTCTGAGCACACCTGCAGCGTTCGACCATGGCATGAGATGCGCCATGGCATCACGGACCTCATCCACGTTTCATGGGCCAAGTCATTGCATGTTTGGGGGATGGAGACCACCCATGACGAGTCACGTGACTGATCATCGGCGCGTTCTTGTGCCGCATCAGGTGAAGGTCAGGACCCTCCTGGAGAGTTGACCAAGCAGCAAGACTTGCCGCTTCGACTGGATTTGCGGGGTGAATCAGCGAGTGATCCCAAAAGCGGGTCGAACAAAGAGATGACTGGGCTGGCTGATGCTGGCTGTTTCATATGGATCTTTGGCATTCGAAGGACCTTTCGGAGACCAATGATCACAGATCTCTAGGTCAAGGGTACCAGAAGTTGAACACTCTTAGAAGGGTAGCGCAGGCAGCCAGGCCAGAGGAGAAGAATTGAACTTTGGGAGCTGAACAGTCCCAGAAGACTGATCACAGTTCAGCTCCCTTGGGGTGCTCTCCGGCTAGCTGGTGCTATCATTGGAAAAGAGCGAAAGGGGCTGAGAGATGAGGAACGCAGGGTACAGATGCCCGGGACGTGGGCTTGGTCGCTCTCAGACGCAGCCTGAAGAACCTCTATCTTGCACGGGATTCTGTGGGGGGTTACTGTCGCAACATGTAAAGGTTTGCATTTTTGGGGAGGTAATGCCCCAACCTTCAACACTCCCTGCCTGAACCTTGGCAGGGGAAGACGATCTCAAATTGCCCATTCGCTTGCTTAATGCGTTATTCTCACTGCAGCAGTAGCAATCAGCCAACATTTCTGTTGTACGCTGGAAGCTGGAATCCGCTGGTATAGGATCCATGATGATCCACGCTTCGCTTCTAGAAGAGAAGAAGAAGAAGAAGAAGAAGAAGATAGCACAGGTTTCAATTTTCAAGTGATTGATTGATTCATGATTCAACGATTGATCCGTCTCAGTCCATGGATCAATCCATCAATCATATGCACAGCTTTCAAGTGACGGCTTCAGAGTCCATTTGATTCAAGTTGGATGTGTGACGTGAGACTTTAGGCTGTGACTGTAGAGCGGTGCTTTCTGGAATGATCATTTGGTGGCGTTCACAGCATGGCAGGTCCAACTCTGCTAAAAACAGCCTACCTGTTTGTACAATCCCTGGAGTTATCATGGAGGAATCAAGGAAGACAGGTCCGGTCAAGCGTTTTCAATCCACTACTACATGGGGTAACCAGAATCATCCAAGTTGGTGGAATCACCACCCACCTGATGAGTTGGAACACTACATCAGGTGTCTGTAGTCCAAACCCACCTGATCTCTTGTTTTGGAGAAAGCTCCAGGCCGTCTCCGTACTTCTTCGCCAGGCTGGACCGACTGGCCCGTGCTGGAGAGGAGCGTTGTCCACCGTCCACGCGGACTCGGTACGCCTGTTTTCGGCAGCTCAAACCAGTTGTGACACGGGGCACGACCTATGGATCCACATAGCGGCTATAGCGAGGGGATGATATTGGTGACACATGGTGACACAGGCCCAAGGCGGCCCAAGGCGCCTCAGGAGGGTCCAGCCGAACCTGCTGAGAAGGCAGTGGATCCCCCAACAAAGGGTATACGTTTGGTTCTCGGCATGTAACTGAGCCCGCCAGAATGGACCCCCAGGGTATGTAGCTGTCAATGGAGTCATAAGATCAAATCAATACCCCAGTTGTGTTCAGTTCTGAGTAGTTCATTGGTCCACATGCTGTTCAGTTTGCCTCAGATTCCACATGTCAACAGTGGATTTTGCACTGGCCACACCCAGACGTCACTAAGTAAGCAGGGAAGAACAACTAAGTAACTGCATGCCAAATGAATCCAAGTGAAACGTCACAGACAAGGCCCTACATGCCCCTACCTGAAGCCACCCAAACAAGCCTTTCGGAGCTGTGACCCGCAGTCACAACACCAAATTCAAAGAGAACACCGTGTGACACCTTGGTGCCTGACGACACAGGCGGCTCAAGCCCTGGCTTTCACGAGAGCCGTTGATTCGCCGGGGCGAAATCGACCGAGACCGCTGCGATCCGCCGCGCGCGGTTCGACCCGCAGAAGAGACCCGACCGAGTCAGAGCGCTGTCCGAGCGCAGCGAGTTACGCGCCGGCGCTGGGACATGGCCAGCCGGTTGGCACCAACCTTGAGGAAGTATGTGCATTGTTGCTGGGAGCAGACCGACCGACCGAGAAAACGGATGGGAATGGGTGCTTTTCTGGAGTTCAAACAGGAGTCAGCTGGCCGGTGAGGTTCTATGGTTGCACCACCGAACTCTGTTGCGGTATAAATCACTTGTGTGAGGGGCAGGTTTAAGTCGGCATGGGCAATCCAGAACACGTGGGGCTGGTTTCGGAATTCCAGGCTGGTGGAAACTGGCCTAACATTAACCCTAGAGTCCTAGAGGTTCTAGAGAGTGCGGTCATCCACCCAGATTCAACTTTTGGCGCTTTAGCATGGCAGCACACTATGCAGCACTTCCCCTGGTATCTTCAGCAACCTCACCTTCCGCGGCCCTTTAACCACCGGGCCCGCCTAGTTCCGAGTCCGAGTTTGCAGGTTATATGCCCAAGTACCTGGCAGCGCAGCATGTGCGCAATTGGGCAGCCTGGACAGAATGGAACCCCGTGGATGGACAGGCCTACCGTGCTCTCTTTCAACAGAGGACCGCGGGATTCGGGCGGGCTTACGTCGGGCAGCAGGCAGGTCAAGGTGGTGGTTAGTGGTTGTTGAGCAGGTAGGCAGCATGCCGTGGAGTTACTCAAAGCAGGACCGATGTAAGAGATTGTCACGATGTCCCGTCAGAATGCTCATTGACATCTTAATGTTCCATAGACATCAACAGAGCTAGCATGCCCTTTGCGGCTTCATATGGAGATGTTGTTTTTCCATTCTGAGTAGCTGGTACTAGTAGTGGGGTGACGATGGATTTACATGATCCACTCCCACCCAACCACCTCCACAGCTCCATGTGTGCCACCGTATGCCGGACCCAGGAGGACCTCCCCGGCCGAATACGTGGAATTCGTCGTCTCCCTCCGCCAGCGCCGAGATTTGCCTCAGGCGCTGGGGGGCGAACTGGAACGGATGGTGCTGACTGGTGCGAGAAGTCCACTGAATGTAGACTCTTGATTTATAAAGCCTCTCCATGTGGATTGGAAAAGCTTTCTATATTTTATATACGGGGTTTGGTGAACCAAGAGTTTACATGATGATCCGTTCAGAAAGAAAGAGGATGTGTAAGTGTAAACCATGATGTTTAAGAAGTGGGAGATGAAAGACACCAACACCGGGATCAGTTTCACTATAAATTGTGAAAGTCTCGGTTGAATAATTATGTTGCGATGCTGGTTGGCCGCTTGGCTTGTTTTTTGTTGCTTTTGCGTTTGACTTACCCTTTGTCAGTCAGTGAACGCCTTCTTACTGTTGCTGTCTGCCAACATTGACACATGACCCTATGTAGAAACTAGTATTTGACGGCTCCAGTTCCCAATAACAATATAGCCAATGTAAGGGAGAAGGGTGGCGCTTTCGGGGAACCCCACACTCAGTCAGGCTGAGTTGTGCGCTCTTGGATTTGCTCTTGGACGTGAAAGGAGCAAGAACAGAGACTCCTGCAAACTCGTGTCAGGAGTTGCTGGCGAGCCTGCAGAAGGATTTGGCCGAAGAGTCATTGGGTGAAGAAACGGGTGGGACTCGAACGCTTGTCGCCGGAGCGGTCTGAAGAACGTGACCAAACTGGTTGCTGGTTGCTGGTTTGGGGTGCTGGTGGGTCGGTACATCAGCTATACTTATATAAGCTTATAAGCCTCAGGCGAAGTCTTGTTGAATTTTAGCTTGTGGTTGGTAAAGATCGCCCTCACTGCAAGCAATACCATAGACTGAATGTTTCGTAAAACTTGGTACTTTCCTCAAGATCTTGCAGAATGACTTTTCGCCCAAAAACCTTTGCTGTATAGGATGTTGCCTCTAGTACTGTATACTGTACTGTATAGGATGTTGCAAGTGATTCAGTCTTTCTCATTGGAACTTGAAACGATCGGCACGTCGATCGATGTGTGCCGCCCTTCTCCCCTAGATCCATCGTATCGCGGAGGGCGTTCAGGGGCGTTTCCAAAGATTCGCATCAGCTTCATTCATTCTGCACCAAGCGATTTGCATCCATTTTGCATCCATTTGCTGCATCTAGTCTTGGAATGAATCACTCGGAAGCAGGCACCGTTCGCACTTGGAAGCCCTCTACGGCCAACGTCGTGGTCCCGGGTCCGGGCCGTGCCGTGTCGCCATGGCGACCCTGTCGTAGCTTCGTTTCGGTTCGGTGGGACGGACGGGGTGGGGTGGGTGCCTTCTGAGGGTCCAGTCATACCGAACCTGAGGTACGACTGGAGCCCTAGGGCATACTGTAATTGGCATGTGAGGCCACACGCTTTTTTTTCAGTGATCCCAGTGATCTCACGAGGCGTTTGGAGTCCGCATCTCCCAAAGCAATAGAGCACCCGCTCACGAAGAGGTCGCTGTTTCGAAGCCCTATATGGCTAGCGACCACCGCTACATATTATAGACCCTGGACATATTAAAATACTAATTACATGATCTAGATTACCCTCTATCCATGGTGTTGGTGTTCGAACATGCTCTCCAAACCCACATGTTTCAGGTTCACTAGTGGGGTCTACCAAGTCACCTCCATCTCAGCCTCCTTCCACTTGCCACGGCGGCATCCGAGGATCCTAAGACAGGCAACCACTCAGAGCGAGACCCTGCAGGCCGCGGTTGAAACCCGCGCGTCGCGAGCAGGGAGGCGCAACCATTCGGGGCTGAGCTGGACTCCTGTTGCGGCGCCAGGTGGATACAGAGCCGTGGCCCAAAGCCCTCAAGGATCAGCTGTTGGAGGTGGGACAAACACAGCCTCACGGCTGGGGCCTCCGTTTGGTGCAACCTTGGCATGAAACAGCTTGGGTGATGAAGCAGATGGATTGCAGTGGTGATTTTTCTGTTGGCGATTGTTGTTCGATCTTCTTTGTCGATAGCAGTGCAAAGCTGAGACACTTGACGATTTTTTTGGGCTCCACTTGACGCCGAGCTCCGCAGGATGTGGCTGAGGCCTTGACCCTCCTTGGGGGTGCAGAAGAGGCTGAGGAGCGCCACCTGCGCCACAAGTCGTTCGTACAGGTTGGATATGTTGGATCCAGAAGAAGTGTAGCATCTAAAGAGGCAACCCTTGAGAAGATTGTAGCTTCATTGTCTTTGGGCCAATGAGTGTTGGGATGGTGATGAGATGTTTCAAAGTTTTGGGCGATGTGCTGAACAGCCATGCTGTTTCAGGCAGATTGCCACAGGGCCAGCCTTCAGTGCCTTTCATCCCCTTCGTCCAATGGTCCGCGCACCAGAAAATGAAGGCTTTCATGAGACGCTCGAGTCCCCAAAGCGATCTTCATGAGGCCCACTTCGCGGAACACTCACCTCACACCGAAAAACGACACCGAAAAACGGCCACAGATCCGGACCCCCGTGAAATCGGACCGCCACAGCATGACCAAGCGACAAAAACAGGTGCGTGGGGTGCGAACGCGCAAGTCCGAGAAGAATGGCGTAACGCGCATCAAACATCTCAAAGATGGCTTCACTTGTATGACATGCATGGTTACTTGTGAAACTGGCAGGCCATGTTGCTCAGCTGGGGGACTTCCGCCCACAGCATGGCCAAATACGGTATTAAGTAATCTTCTACAAACTTGTTCTTGAACTGATTGGTAGAACGTTGTAGTTAAACTGGTTTTCCGCCTTGGGCGAAACTTTTGGCAGTCTTTCACCTGAATAAACCCAGACCAGGTCCATCAGTGGTTGGGCCCTTGATGTTCATTCCCAGAGCCGCCTTGATCAGTGGTGTGAGTTTTTTCTCAGGACCCTCTTGAGATCGACAAGCTGAATTCTGGCAGCAAGGATGGAGGGCAATCAGGTAATTCATGTGCACAGTAACAAGAAGACATTAGGTTGGAGGCCATCGCTACTAGGGTGGAGGCCATCGCTACTAGACTACTAGGGTGGAGGCCATCGCTACTGGGGTGGAGGCCATCGCTACTAGTTTGGAGGCCATTGTACGCTTACTTATAATTGTATAATATTGTATATATATATAGATATATAGAGAGAGATAGATATGATATGTTTAGACTACGTATATAGATAATATCATATTATACATGAACTGAACTATTGACATGCACTTTTCCTAGACAGTAGCCAAGTAGAAACCCACTGGGAATCGTGGTAGCGCCCTGCAACAGTCGCCGGGAGGTGGGATATTGGTGTGGCCCCTTATAGACTGTTGCTCCGGTTTTTTTCAGTGATGGGAATTCTTTCCATT